GACCTGCGGCCCTTTGCTGCGTCTCTCTGCCCCCCATTCCTGTCTGTCTCAAGCTGTCCTATCAAATAAAGGCATAAAAGCCTAAAAAAAAACCATCTTGGTGTCTTCAACTCTTATTTTTGCCCTAGCTTTCAATCCCATGACCACCGGTTTGCCCAGCCCCAACCAGGTTTGCCGTAGGCCCACTGTCTCTCCTTCTCTACTTCCATGCCACTTTGTGGTTTGTGGGTTCTCCTGGCTGAATGGAGGTCCACACGGTGTGTGCACTCTTGACTTGTGCCATAGCTCCCTATTCCAAACTACCTAAAGGAGATTCTCTAAGCTTACCCTAAGTTTCCTTTAACCATAAATTAACTATTACTTATTTGTAGGGATGCACCGATCAGGAAGTTCTGGGCAGATAACATAATAACAATTTGGCCGATTGTTTTTTATTTATTCAGGATGTTAGGCCAATATATGCATCACCACTTTTTTGCGATAACCAATATCATTCCACAGCCATCCCATAATTACCATGCAGAGTAAAAGTAGATCATTACAACAACGTTGGTACTGAACATAATCCTGCTTTTTGCTGAATCATCCAACATCAACATTCCATCTGGCGATAGGGTTGGTTTTTACAGATATGGTGTTTTGAAGGCCAACATTATGTTCTAGATGGAAGTCACCATTAGGGGGTTTTGTGATGATGTTTTTTTTGTCAATATCTTAAGATAGGAGATCAAGAATTCAGTGTGTCTACCAAACTTTTAAACTTATCAGGATGGGAAAGCCTTTGAAACAGCATCATGGGACACTGAAACACATGGAACATTGGAACCCACTCTAGAGAAAGTCTCTTATGGTTAGCAGCTCTTCAAAGCAAGGTGATTTAATGTACCCATTTAACGGTAGGGCAGGTCAAGGAGAGATTAAAGGATACTTTTGGTTTATTACAACTTGAGTCTTATTTTTGCAGTTTTAGCCATCATCATCATCATCACTCACTTTCAGTTTTACCTCCAAATAAAGTAGCTGTGACCATACAGCTAAACTTTTGGCTTACAAGCTGTCTGATCGTCTGACTTTTAGCAATGTTGCCAGATCCCAGCAGTTAATACAGTGAGTAGAAATGATGGTCATAAAAATGAAAATGTGACCCAAGTTGTAATAAAACAGAATTTCCTTTTAATATGTTTAGGTGAATCATTTTATAAAAACACTTTTGAACATTTAAACAAATAAATAAAGTTTAAAGAAAGAAAAGTCTGATTGCAAGTTCTCTAGGCTGTTTTTATGTACTTGCTGATTTGATAAACCTCACTTATATCAGCAGTGGATGACATGACATATCTAATAAAGGTCAATACTGGCAAACCAGTAGCTCAGTCTAAGTCTTGTCTAAAGGAGAGCAGTGGTCTGCATTCTACAGTAAGAAACATCACCATATTCATTTTTGTCACACAAAATGTTTGCAGGAAAGCAAGAAAACATTTGATCCACATAGTGAACACTTCATATTAGGAGGTTGGGTTCAGATCAGAAAATAAAGCCCCCTCATCCTTCCAGCCTTTTGTGGCTCCATTCAGTTTCCTTTTAGGGAGTGAAAGAATTTGACTGAAGCTTGTCCCATTCACATGTCTGCAGTTCTTGAAGCATCCACCCACAGATGATGTCCTTTCAGTCTTTGTTCAGTCTCATGTACATAAACAAAATGTAATGTGGTTATAACCGCTCACTGCCACTAGGTGGAGTCAGCGTCCTGTGAACATGACCCACAGCATCTGTGTTTGTACATATCCACATAGCACAGCTTCAGCCTCTTCACCACGCTGCAGTACTGGGTGGTGTCCTTGCATTCACCTATATGGGCACAAAACACTCCACATAATCACAACAACAAAAACTACTAATTAAAAGGCAGATTTACCTGATTGAAAGTGTTACTGATGAAGGAGGTAGCTGATTGCCCTGGAAGCATGGATGAGTTATAATAGTTTAGTATTTGTCATTAGTTTTTAGTTTTGTTTAGTGTTTAGTTAGTGTATTTTCTGAGTTTAAAGCTGCAGTACGTAACTTTAACTTTTGTCATATTTACTGAAACTTTCACTATATCCTGACAGTAGAACATGAGACAGATAATCTGTGAAA